TATGATCAAGAAATCACGTAGAGTTGGCCTTACAGTTGATAACAGCCAAACTAATTATTATATATATTATATATATATAACTATACAATGAATAGCATCACTAATGTTATTTCTACTTAGCAGTACTTTAGCATAGAATTACTCCACTTAATCGTAGTAATCTATACTAGTATTTACTGCAGTCCATAAGTAACTATCGCCTACCCGATTGCTTGTACAACGCTTGAAGTACACGGACCTACGCGAAGACGAATCCAGCTATACCCGCTCCAATCGGAAATCCTGACCTCCCACGACTTTCTCGCTCCTCGTTTTCATACACCTGAAATTATTCCCTTGTCTGCTATATAGGTCAACGATCTCTGTCTTGGACCCGGCCCAACACTCGAACACACGCAAAACAACATATTGGCTAGGATATATCGCTCGCATTAGCGCGTGAATCTTCTATCTGATTGTTTGTGACGGTTCCTCATGTTCAGGTTGTTCGCAGTGTGGAGTTGTACGTTGTTCGCTATGGAATCGCTGGGCCATGCACCCCCACCCCCACCCCCCCCCCCGTTGGTGGTAGCGTTTCCTTCCACGGCACGGGCAGCGTCCAAGCTTGCCTCGCTCAATGTCAATCTGTGTTTGGAAACTCACTGTTGCAGCCAGCACCACCAGCGGTCAAGAAATCAGTTAGAGTTGGTACAGTTGGATTACACAAATAATGTTATATATATAATATATATATATATATATATATATATAATATATATATATATTATATACTAATACATTGAATTATTGTTTAATCACATTTATTTTTACCAGTGCTCGCCACGCGCCTGGGCAGTTTCCCCCGCGTCCTGCCGGTATCTCTTGTAAGTGATTGTTCTTGTTATTCTTCAAGTAAATTTTTATTGTTATTAAGGTGATACGCGGCTATTGCAAATATCTTCGCGTAATGCAAAACTCGCGCTGTAAATCAAGAAAACAGCAGCGACGCTGATACCATTAATTTACCTTTCACGATACATTAAGTAACTACTTTGCCTACGCGACAGTGGGTGGTGGCGATACTCCCACTTCCCGCGGGTCGTCCGCGCCTAATCGCTCACACACATGGCCCGTGATAGTGTCACGAGTTAATAATACTTATTATGCATATATAAGTATGTAATATAAGATATATAAATTCTGTAAATAACATGAATAATCTATATAAGTATATAGACCATATATAAGCAGTTATATCAGCTCTTGATGGTATAGCCTCATAGTTAGAAATACTGGACAATGCGAGGACAATTTCATTAACTAGCCTCAGTAATCTATTGCTCATCATATTTAATTAGACTTGATCAGATGGGGAGGTGCATGCCGCAATTATTGTTGCTTTGGTTTCTAATTAATTTCCATGTATAATATATTTGTTTAATGACTGCTTAATACTTACGTCAGCTGGTGACTACAAGCAAAAGAAAGCTCTCTCGCCAATAAGACCAGCTAAGAAGAAGAGGATGGATAGTAATAATAGGTATAGTGTTTCAACGATAGGTGTATAGATCTCTATATAATTATGATGAGGGTGAATCGTGTAATATCTCTTTATGTCTCCTGATGCTATCCAACATTGTGCAGGTGTATGTAAGAATGAAGATGTAACGTTCCTTATGCAAAGGCTGTAATTAAGTAGAGGTATAATGTTTGCTATTCACAATCGTGACACTTACACTTATCCTCTTGCTCCCCTGATGGGACATAAGGCCGTACGAATAGTGTCCCTCCGGTGGGATCTGTCCTGGGCAGCCTGCATGCAGCGTCTGTCCTCGCGAGAAGCCCATCTCCTTCAGTTCCTCCTCCACACTTCTCCTCCAGGTGGTCTTGAATCGCAATCGTGAATTGAACCTTAATTAGGTTATTGGATGTTTTCCAGGGACTGGCAGGCTTGTAGTGCTAGCCGGCCTGCTTCTCCCTTAGAGCAGATAGAGATAATGGAACATCATGAGCTGCAGGAGTCTAGGAGTGAGCAGGAGCCAAGCAGCAGTGACCTTGAGGCAAGTTGAATGCCGCATCTCCTGATATATTACTGCACGTAACGTCTGGATAAACACCTGTACAAACAATGAATAGATTTCTCTGCAAATATTGATCGTTCTGCCAAGTTTTACCGACGAAGGTTTCGATTATTACAGAAGTACAAATTTTACATTGAAAATGGCATCAAGGGAGCGATGTTAGCTGTACCGCCTAGCGATCAAATGAAGAATGTGGAGCGAAGAATTTGTGTGGCTCGGGGTATGGGAGCGAAGCATAAGAAGAAACTACTCGAAGAGTTGAATACTGAAGTGGAAAACAACTACAGATTCAGTCTTCAGCAAGCCATCGGTAAACTGCCGTTGTTTGTGTAACGAGTGACTGCACATCCAATGTTTGTATCAAAGTAAGGTGTTGGTTCGCATAGAATAACGTTAACCAAGTGTTCGTGCAAATCTATCAAAACGCATCTAGTGTTCCTACTGATCTGTCTTTCTTATTTTACATGTTTAGCACTGAGTATGAATATTATGTTTTATGCACAGTAATAGTGTTTGCAAGTGCACCAACATTACCAATGTTAGTCCAATGATGTCATGGTTATATTTTTCAGTGGATTACATATTGAAAGATCCACACGAAAGGGGTAGGTTGAAAGTGTTTGCATCACCAAAAACCTTTCCATTAAGGTATAATATCAAGCATTTTAAGTCAGTTGTGTTTGTAAATAATGTTATTGAATAGGACTGATAATGTGTATCAGTCACGTGAAACAAAATATTTGTTAAAATTTTAAAAAAGCAATTATTAATTCTGTTTTGATTTTTGTCATAATTTTGCACTGGAATGAGTAACATCCCTATTTGTGGTAAACTACAACAAATTTTGTTGTCACGCCAAAGCACTAGTCAAACCTTTATGTCTAAGATATTTATCCGATAAAGCATCAGCGTTTCGAAGTATTGATTTATAAAATACGATAAAATTTTATGGAGTGGTCAAGATAAATTTGTTAAAGTTTATAAACAGTTGTTGCAAAAATAAGCAATTGGTGCTGCCATGCAACCACACTTGGTGTAAGAGGACGAATGTTTTTAAAGTAAGGAAATTGATCACAGCTTGTCATGGACTTCACCATCGAATTGTACTACAAGGTGAATAGCATTTGGGTTGAAGTCGTGCATGGCTTGCGTTGTTGATTTGGGACTGTCTGCTGTAGGCTTGTAAGGTCACCGGTACCATAGCGTGACTCATTCAGCAATGCTAAGCAATGTCTGAGTCAGCACCTGTTCATTACGAATCCTGTGATGCAGAGACTGCACAATCTCTACCAGGACAGGTATCTATTGATGCTCCCACTTGTCTTGGTTTATATCCTCAGTTCTTATTTTAATCAGAAGCCCTCATCGATACTAGCATGAACATGATCCTCACAAACACAAATGTATACAATATATGTTAGTGACTTGATAGTAGTAATATCTAAATATAAATAACAAAGTAAAATTTTGTTTTTTCATTTTTTTTATATATATTTTTTTATATATTTTTTTATTGTTTAATTGTTCAAACCAGCACGGTTGAGTAAAATTAACTTTGTTATTTATATTATTCTACCAACCGAATGAACTTATTTAATGAGTAGTAATATCGTGCGTAGTAATAATGCATTATTGATAACGTTAGCATTTAGTTTGGGAAGGATAGTGTCAAAGGTAAATCTCGTAGGTTTGCTGTGTTGATTAGGGTTTAGACAGCTGGCATAAGATAACTTTCGCGTGTTACGCTCGTGATTCTAGGTACGCCGACGTGAGATTCGTGTCGTATCGACAGATGAGAGAGGAAGCCTTGCCTCTGAGCCCGTCCGACTTTGAGCAGGTGGTCAGAAGGCAGTGCAAGTGCGTGAGAGAGGTCCTCGTAAACAGGTGAGTCGCGAGACAGGCGTAGAAAGCCCAGCCTCGCACGCGAGCGATATCTAACGTGGGTGGTCACATCTAACAATGCAGGGGACATGGTGTGACCGCTCGTCGGGGACTACCTCGCATTTACGTGCGTTGACATTTTGCGTGTTGCGGCGGACATATACAGCCTGACGCACGGACGCACGGACACCTGTGCTGAATGTAATTATAGGTGCATCATGTTCCCGCGCATGACCACAGACTGCGCATGTGCCATGGTGGAGTGAGGGATGCTCCTGTGTTACGATGAATGCGTATCTGCTCTTTTAATAAACTAGTATAGCGATGTTTTTCAACAGTAGTGGGCATCCCTATGCAGTGGCTGCTCGGCCTAGGCCTAAATACGTATGACACAAACACTAATTAAAAATACCCAGAGAGTTTTGACCCATACGCAACCCACACTTTATTCATGCTAAATGCACAGATTCAAGGTTCATATGCTCCGATCAAAACATTTGCTAGCTAAATTATGCACATTTCCAGCGTGTAGTCGGATCCTGTTTCACAGACTAAAATGGCCGACCGGTCACGGTGGCAATATGTCACTGGCTGCGCACGCGAGCGATATCTAACGTGGGTGGTCGCATCTAACAATGCAGGCAGATAGGTGCGATATGATATGACTACTAGGCACTTAGGATATGACTACTAGGCACTTAAAAAAAAAAACCCTAACCCTAACCCTAAAAAAAAAAAAATTAAATTAAATTAAAGCGCCTAGTAGTCATATCATATCGCACCTTTCTGCCTTCTGCCATTTATGTGCGTTGACATTTTGCGTGTTGCGGCGGACATATACAGCCTGACGCACGGACGCACGGACACCTGTGCTGAATGTAATTATAGGTGCATCATATTCCCGCGCATGGCCACAGACTGCGCATGTGCCACGGTGGAGTGAGGGATGCTTCTGTGTTACGATGAATGCGTATCTGCTCTTTTAATAAACTAGTATAGAGATGTTTTCCAGCAGTAGTGGGGCTGATAGGGTCTATGTCCTCCAGGGTACTGCCGGAACGTACCCTGGGTACGGTCCGGTATACCGGAACGTACCCTGGTAACTATATCTAGCTGATATGGTTAGGGTTAGGGTTAGGGAGTAGGCGTAGGCGACTCCCTAGACTCATTAGTGGAGTAGGCGAGGTACGGTCCGGCATGTTAGATAGTAGTATTTAGTACCAGGGTATGTTCCGGCAGTACCCTGGGGGACATAGACCCTATCAACAGTAGTGGGCATCCCTATGCAGTAGCTGCTCGGCCTAGGCCTAAATACGTATGACAAAAACACTAATTAAAAATACCCAGAGAGTTTTGACTCATACGCAACCCACACTTTATTCATGCTAAATGCACAGATTCAAGGTCCATATGCTCCGATCAAAACATTTGCTAGCTAAATTATGCACATTTCCAGCGTGTAGTCGGATCCTGTTTCACCGACAAAAATGGCCGACCGGTCACGGTGGCTATATGTCACTTCACGACAGAATTGCACAATTTCTCGACAACACCAATCTTACTTTCATGCTTTCTAAACGTCCACATGACGCAGAACGTTTACCTTAACGTGTATGATGCAGATTCGTTCACTCTAGTACTGATGTTTACCACACAAAAATCTGAAAAGTAGTGCAACGTTGAACAATTAGCAGAAGGGTACTGATCGATGGTTGCCTCCTAAACCTCTTAAGCTCTATTCTAAAACAAGTGAATGCGTAAACGAAAAGCGAGTGCGGAAAACTAGTATGCCAACGTTTATGTTTATTGTTCATTCAATACTCATCTGTTAATTATTCCATCAGGGTGCAAAATTAGTTGGAGGGCCAGTAACATTGGCAAAACACCGGCCCTCCGAGCTGGTGGTTTCAGACGTGTTAGTGAGTACCTATACATTTTTGTTTATAGCATTCATGAGCAATTAGCCTACATTACTGTTTTACCTGAAGGATATCATGCCGTAATTTATCAACATTTTACAAATTTAAAATCATGAATGCAAGCGTGAAACATGACGTTGACAAAAACACTTCAGACATCATTCACGATCTACATTATACTTATAGTTTGTTCAACAGCTACTATACGAGATGCCGCACACTACAACATTTTTCCGACAAGCAAGATCTTGCGATCAACTCGGGTCAGTGAAACAGTCGATCTTGTCTTTATTTTTGATAAAAAAACAAAATTTGTGAGAGATGGTAAATTATGGTGAGGGTAAAATGGCCGACCGGTCACGGTGGCTATATGTCACTTCACGACAGAATTGCACAATTTCTCGACAACACCAATCTTACTTTCATGCTTTCTAGACGTCCACATGACGCAGAACGTTTACCTTAACGTGTATGATGCAGATTAGTGCACCCTAGTACTGATGTTTACCACACAAAAATCTGAAAAGTAGTGCAACGTTGAACAATTGGCAGAAGGGTACTGATGGTTGCCTCCTAAACCTCTTAAGCTCTATTCTAAAACAAGTGAATGCGTAAACGAAAAGTGAGTGCGGAAAACTAGTATATGCCAGCGTTTATGTTTATTGTTCATTCAATACTCATCTGTTAATTGTTTCATCAGGGTGCAAAATTAGCACCGGCCCACTGGCATATATGCTGGCAAATTATTTGGAGGGCCAGTAACATTGGCAAAACACGGGCCCTCCGAGCGTGTCCGACGTGTTAGCGAGTACCTATACATTTTTGTTTATAGCATTCATGAGCAATTAGCCTACATTACTGTTTTACCTGAAGGATATCATGCCGTAATTTATCAACGTTTTGCAAATTTAAAATCATGAATGCAAGCGTGAAACATGACGTTGACAAAAACACTTCAGACATCATTCACGATCTGCATTATACTTATAGTTTGTTCAACAGCTACTATACGAGATGCCGCACACTACAACATTTTTCCAACAAGCAAGATCTTGCGATCAACTCGAGTCAGTGAAACAGTCGATCTTGTCTTTATTTTTGATAAAAAAACAAAATTTGTGAGGGATGGTAAATTATGGTGAGGGCTGGTAAAAAAACTGCTGTTACCAGCCCCCAGGGCCGGTACAAAAAATCTGAATTTCTTCCCATATGTCCATGTTTAATTATTTCAATGTTTCCATGCTCGACTATTTTTAAATATTTACAGTGTTTAAATTATATACGATAACATCGATCTAGTCTCCCAGATTGGTTTTAATTTAATTTCGATGTACGTATCACAGAAAACATCTTTACTAGCCATAGGCCCATAGATCTCCAGAAGATTGCTAATCGATTGCAAGGTAAAGCTTGTCTATAAAATAAAGTAGTTTACGAATAAGTGGTTATAATCACTATTATGCACAGTGGCACTTCTAACATTTAGGAGTTCGTAAGTAATTAATCTCTCGCGATTCATAAGTAATTAGGAGTTCATAATGTTCATGAGTAAGTAATTCATGAGTAAGGTTCATTCATAAGTTCATAAGTTCATTAGGAGTTCATAAGTAATTAATCTGACGCGAGAGAGCGTCAAAGTATATTTGCTCTTCTGAAACCGAAATATTGGCCTCACGGTGTACAGTTAGATGGCATGTCCAGCGATATACCTTCACCTATTATGGTCTTGAAGTCAAGCCACTTTATGGCAGAGCCGCCATTAGAGAGACAAGAGGTTCTGATTGTTGCAACCTCGGCATCAGTCAGGATACGATCGTACACGTTCAGGTCAGCTAAATCCCCCACGAATGCTTCTGTTTGATCAGTGTCCGTCTGTGTATTGTCAACATCCTGTCCTATTATGAAGTTAGCCCCTGTGTCAGCGATGAAGTTCACTTGTTGCGAGGTAATGCCAATGTATTTTTCGTGGTCATCCACGAAGACTGTGTCCAATCTGGTAGTACTGTCGTAGGTTGTGCATAGAAAGTGCCAGGTGCCATCGGTAATATTCATTGTAATTTTGCTGTGGAAATAGAGAATTAAAGCGGCTCTAAGTCTAAGCAATATTAAAGCTGCGTTCAATAATTCATGCGTTAATTTAATATCCTGATATTGGGATAAAAAAGGTAATATGAACATGTTACTATAGCTTATACTCACTGACTTTCACTTTGGTCCGTCCATATATAGAATACAGAAGTTCCACCAGGTTGGAGTATCAATTGCATCTCTTCGTTGGAGTTGCCATCTCTATGGTATGTCCACACCGTGGGCAGAGCAATCGATCCAACTAGTAACGCGACACACGAAGGAAATCCGCTTGGAACTCTCAAGCCAAGACCACACGGAGATTTGCTAAAGCGCCAAAACGAAAGGCCGTTTTTGATGCGCAGTAACCATCTAAATTCAGATTTTGTTGGGAAGTGCATGGAGTAGTCCCAGTCATGCGG